CTGCTCCCCGGGCGCCCAGTGGCTGCTTCACTGAGTGGGTCAAATGCAGAGAGGAATTTCCCCACGGGGATCAATAAAGTACATTATTAATATTTATTATTATCCTGCCTGGTTACACTCCCAACGTGGGCGTGGCCTCTTTGACTGACAGGCGGCTGTAGCCGCTAGCTGTCTGCTAGCTTCACCTGAACTGGAGATCTGAGCCTTTTGAATGACATCATCTGACCAATAATATGGCTGCTGTGTACTTAACCGCACTAGCTGACATCACCGGGCCGACTGACACGATTACTGTTAACGATGAATCACACAAAGCTGCTCTTACAGAGTCCACGAAGCTGCAAAGGAGTAAAATCAGTTTCGCTCTTCTACACTTCAGTCCTCGTGCTGAGCTAACAACGGGTCAAACATCTAACTCAGCGGTCTCCAACCTTTTCTGCGCCACGGACCAGTTTATGCCCGACAATATTTTCATAGACCGGCCTTTAAGGTGTCGCGGATAAACACAACAAAATAAAACTAGTACTGGTACAGAAATAAAGAAGATTTATTCATAACACACGTGAAAAGACCCAGGAAAACCGAGTAAACGAGGCCCGGGGGTTGGGGACCGCTGCTCTAACTCACAGAATGTATTGAATTTAATTTTAGATGAATCGGACAGATTCCTAACATCACAGTGATGTGAGGAAGTAATCACTTCTCAGCCGATCAGCTGACGAGTATCCAATCAGAAAGCTCCTCCAGTGTCTCGTTTCCTTCTTCACCTTTACTTTTTTCTCTTTTTTCCTTTCAGTGACAAAATGTTCCCGGCGTTCGGCTTCGGCGCTCAGATCCCTCCAGACTACAAGGTAATTTAACAGCCCGGCTCGCGGCTTTCCCAGCATGCACTCTGTCTGCAGAGGCCGAGGCTGACCCTGTGATTACCTTCCCACCCCCCCTGCCCTCGTCCCCTCCCCGGGGTGCTGCCGGCTGAATGCTTCCTCTCCTGTGCGGCGGCCTTTGGTTGGCGGTCTGACGCTGCATTCAAATCAGCTTCCAAAGTCCTGATTAGCTGCATTCAGAGTCCGAGTCGGCGCCCTGAAAAC